TAATTTTGCAACATTTTAATTTGCTAGATACCTTACAAGGTCGCCGAGTTCTTTTTTCAGCTTGTGTGATTTGGCTACCGTGCAGCGTGATGGTGGTGGAAATGAATCTAAAAATTCACGAAGTAACTGCAGAGCTGCAGGTTGAGATGTACTCTTCAAAGCAAGGTTGCTAAAAGGAGGGACCGGGATAGCAGTTGTGGAAGCAAGTGCTATAACTCTAACAGTTACAAGTGAATGACCAAGAGGCTAAAAAAATGCGAATTCTGAGGTACCGATTTGTTCATTTGTTGTGGTGTTCATTATTTTGGACAAGGTGCACCGAAGATTTCTTTCTGTGTCGAAGAAATCTTTATATTGTAAGACCATAAGGAACCCTCATTTTTAAGATCCGACATGTTCATTATGTGACCTGTACTTAATGAATAGATTAAAGAGGCTGATTCATCTGGGTTTTTTTAAAATGAGTTATTTGATTCATTTTTACAGGGCATGTATCTGCATCCATCTGTAGCATACATAAATTTATCAGTGTTCGTTTCCACATTTCACCATCTTGGTGATTTTTTTGTTGTTTTTCTTGGCTAAGTGTATTATATTCACCTGTTTCATCAGTATGGAAAGAAAATGAATCCAACTTGAGTTGGTGATGAAATTCTGGGCCCCGAGAAATGAACTGGATTGCTATATGGAAGCAGTCACATTGTAAGGGAATAATGGGGTTAAGCAGCGCATCTTTGAGAAATCAGTTTTCGGTTTATGACTGCTCTCAAATCTTTCAGTGTATTTTTGTGATAAAATCCCCCCTTTTAAGGACCATGCCTCACAGTAGAGTTTCTCAAGAAGACTATTGATATTGAGTTGGGTTGGTGAAATTTCTTCAAAATCCACGGGTTCTACTCTTCTCTCAATGCTCCAGTCTAATTAAAAGACAAGATATACTACATGTATTATGTATTACATCTTGTTTTTAATAAATTGTTTTATTCATTCAATTTTTGCCTTATTTATGTTGTATTTTGATACATTTTACCGTTTCAAAAAATTCTGTCTAGGAAGCTGCATTTATTTCTTTAAAGTATTACCTTTAATTCTGTATGAGTATACCTATTCTTGACAAAAACATTGAAATTACATATATTCATTTCACATTTGAATGCGGATATGGTGTATTGGTACACACTTTCCTCTATAAAGAGGAACAGGTATGATCCCTATTGTTGGTAATTTTTAATTAAGAATGAAAAGTATTGTCAATTTTCCATATTATATTGAGGTAAGTCCTTATCTCTCTCTCTCTCTCTCTCTCTCTCCCTCTTATGATACATGTTTTTATGAATTAACACTATTTTTGCATTAATTGCTTTTTTGTAGTTGGCAGTATTTATCTTATATATACCTTGAAACATTGTACACCCCCAGTTGCATGACCTTTTTCTTGGTTCCTCGGATTTGGCGAGCCTCAAACAAACGACTTGACTGTTCACTTCTTCGCCTGTAGTTTCTTTGATTCCGTTTGTCTTGATAGGGGATGCAGGTGTCATGGGTTTAGGAAGGTCAATGAGAGGAGGTATGGTAAGGTTTTCTGACAAATTTTCAAATCTACTACTACACAACATATCTAAATGTTCGAAATTGATTGTCTCGAAATTGAAATTGTCTTTATCCTAAAAAAGGAAATCATCAAATTACATTAGTGACCAAACTGATGCTGACCCCGAGGACCTGCTATTGTATTGAATTATACATCACATTTGCAGACGATTGTGTATACGGTATACGGTTATGTAAGAAATAAAAAGAATCTTAAGAAAAAAAAAAACCCAAAAAACTAAATGCTGTCATCAGACAGTAATACCTGCAGTAAGATGTTTACCTGTAATGCATACTCCTTCATATTTGGGTAAGCAAAGAAAAAACCACAATAAGTCTATGATTTACACAGTACATGTATTTGACAAATTGAGTATAAAATACCCAGGTGAACGTATTTCATAAGTATTTAATATACTAAACTCATTATCAGTCTGAAATCACAGAATTAATTAATGATGTAAATTATGTTTTTAAAAAAAGTGGGTTGAGGGGTGTAAAATTTGGCCCATAATTGGAACTTTTTAAATTCATTTTCAAAATAACAAATAACAAATATTATTACTTTAGTGCAAAGCGTTTTTGATGAACTTAAAAATAATCTAGATGCCAACTTTCAGAATTGATCAAATTGTTCAATCTTTTATGAGTATTTGGGTAGGGAAAAAACCCGCTCCAAAACGCACACTCGATCAATATTGTCAAAACCACCCCTCCCCACAATTTGCCTGTTTTTGGAGATAGATATCACAAAGTTATGTAAAAACTTCGTTCGTGATTATAATATAAAATTTGTACATGTACCATGTGTACAACTTTTAAAATTTCTAGACCCGCGCCTCATATTGGACTTCCGTCACCTACGCTTACTAATTTCACAATTATCATTATTGGATTGCACATGGTGTACATATCATTAAATATAACTTTTTCAACATGGATTAAGTCATACTATGGTGACATGGTGTACATTTTCAGCTTTAAACTATTCTGAAAACAATGCGTGAAAAAATATTGCTCTTCAGTTATTGTATATCTTTCCGAGCACTTGCTATCATAAGTTTTTAGTTTTGCATAAGACTATAAACCTGGGGGTATTTTCTCTCTCTTCTTTCTCTCTTTCTGACATCTACTTGGGCCAAAAATTAAAATGGAATAGTATAAGATTTTTTTTTCTTTTTTTAAATTTAAATTGATAAACTTTTTAGGATTTTATACTGTGTAATTTATACTGCAACTACCGTTCACGGAAGCTCAGTCGGTAGAGCGCTTGCTCCGTGATCGGGAGGTCGTGAGTTCGAATCTCGGCCGCGACTGACCTAAGTCGAAAAAATGGGTAGCAACTGTTCCTTCGCCATGCGCTCGGCACTTTGAAGTAAAAGTTGCAGGTCCTTCGGATGAGACCATAAAAACCGAGGCCCCATGTCACGACAGGCGTTAGCATGATAGAGATCCCTCACTGCTTAATGGCCCTGAGTGCCGAGTAAAGGTCAAAATTTGAAGCCCTTCACCGGTATATGGTGACGTTTCTAAATGAGTGAAAAATTCTCGAATGGGACGTAAAACAACATACAATCAATCAATCAATTCATCATACTGCAGCTAGAATGAAATCCCTCCCAGATATGTAAAAAAAAGTTTACTCATAATCAAGTCTTTGATCTACACCTAATTACAAAAGGAAACAGAAGACTTTTTCCTGATTTTTTACGAATGTTCACATGGAACTCCTATTACTCAAGAACATGGAAGTTCTTCACTTTAATCTATTAGAAAATACTCGACTGTCATCAGAGTATGCAAAAATGAATTAAACGAGGTTTAATAATTTGAAAACAACTCAGTGAACCCTCAAATGATTTGTTGAGACAGGTGAACATACCCCTCAGGGTATAATTATCATACATGAGTCTCTACGAAAAGTTTTAACTTATGTGAAACTTCATCTCATAGTGTTAATTCAAGTTTTTTCAAATTATAATCTCCATGGGTAGGGTGGACCCACAATAGAAGATCAAAGTTTAATATGAGAATGTATAGGAAAAAAAATCTTCAAAAATCTTTTCAAGAAGCACTGGGAAAGAAAAAAATCAATCTTATGTGAAAAGTTCATTATATAGTGTAGAATCAAATTCGTTCTTTCAAAGCTCTACTTTTCCTACAGCTTTGACCCTGAATTTCATTAATACTTGGAGCACAAGTAAAGATATTTTTATGAGATTAATTCAAATCGCTATTCCTCCTAGAGTTTTGGCTCGATTTCAATAACTGTGCACAATTAGCCTTTGTTAATGTACATGTTTTAATGTTCATCAGTTTTTAATTTCCATAAATGATGATGCCTGGGTCACTAAAAGTAGATTAAAAATGCAGAAAAAATAAAGTCATTTCCGATCCCTTTTTGCCCCCAAGATGAAAACGAAAATTCTGAAACCTTATTGCACATGTACAGGATACCATCAATCATCTTCCAAAAGATGATTAGGCTACTGTATAAAATGTAGATGGAGTTCGGGGGACCAGGTCATGGTAAAAAAAAAACCCATCATTTTCGACCCCCATTTGACCTCTATGGTGAAAATCAAAATTCTGAAACCTTATTGCACATCTACAGGACACCACTAATAATTTTTCAAAAGATGATTAGGTTACTGTGTAAATGTAATAGGAGTTCTGGGAACCAGATTTTTTTGTAGAAAAAAAAAATTTTTGGACCCCCGTTTTGCCCATGGGGTAATATTTAAAATCCGAAAACCTTATTGCACATCTACAGGAAACCGCCTATCACATTCCAAAAGATTAATTGGTGACTGCTTAGAATAAAAGAGGAGTTTGAGGAAGAAAAAAGCTTCAGACGGACGAACGGATTAAGGACCAGGGTAGCAACAATATACCCTAACTTTCTTTAGAAAGTTCGGGTATAAAAAAAAATGGAATTCATTTTTCATAGTTTATAAAGATTTCGATTGTCATGGCAATACACAAAATGTAACATCGTTAAAACACATTGTTTTCATTTCGAAGTACTTTTAAAAAGTAGTCCAAGGATTGTGTATATTCATATGCAAACAGATGACTTTGACCATTATCAGTGAGAGGGACAACTAGATATGCCTGGACTGTATATCAGCCATGTCTACCTGCTATTTTCAAAATCTAAATTTTCTGGTAAAATATACCAATTTCTAATTTTTTTTTTAAATTGTTAATTTCTTTGCTTTTGCCTGCCCGTATGAGAGATATTATTTTTTCTATTCTTTCTGAATTTCCATAATTTCTTTGGTCCCTTCTTGCTTCAACTCGAACTTTGCTTGTTGATAAGCATTTGAATCTTTGCATTTTAAGTTTTCATAAATGTTAGAACTAATAAACTAATAAACACAATAAACTAAAAAAAATATTTTCATGTTCACTGAAGCAAAGAATTCTTAGGTCATTATATTTAATTCCATCTTAAACAATTCAATCATTTCTTTGTCATTTGTCTCCTCGGCTGTCTTCAACAGATCTACGCTTGGTATTTTTAAGAGTGCTGGATGATGGTCTACCATGTATTTGCATAAGTCATACTTCCGATTCTTGCAAGCAAGACTTAGAACAGAGCTTCCCTTTTTCGTTGTTTGAAAGATGTCAACACCATGGCTTACCAATAGGTTGAAAACCATGATTTCCTCCTCTTCTGATCTAGATGATCCGGCTGCAAGCATGTGTAACGCATTAAAGTTCTTGCTTGAGGAAAGGTTAGTCATTTCAGGATACGTTTGTATAACGTATTTACAGATCTCATAATTGGAATGTTCGCTTGCTACATGTAGCAAAGTGTGATTATCTGCTGCAATGGCTCTCTCATCTGCATCATAATTTTTCAGAAGTTTTAATATATTTATATCACCACCTTCTACTGCAGCGAATACTGGAGTTCGGTTCAACTTGTTTTGTTCTTTAACTAGATATGGCCATCTGTTTATGATATATTTGCACATTTCAAGTCGGCTTTTAAGACATGCAATATGAAGAACTGAATTCCCTCGATTTGTTTTGCTTTTAACATCAAGATCAAATCCAACTAGTGTATCAAACATTTCAATATGCCCTTTTGCTGTGGCGAAATGAAGAGCATTCCATCCGAGACCATCTACAGAATGAATGATTTCTGGGTACGTCTGTACTATATATTTACACATTTCTTGTTGATCATTGGAACTTGCAATGTGAAATATATTTCTTTCTCTTTCGGTTAACTGCTTTGGGTTAATGCCTTTATTTACCAAGAATTCTAGTATTTCAACGTAGCCACCTTCAGCGGCAAAATGGGCTGCGTTTCCTTTACGTTTATCGGTAATTTCTAGTAGTGCAGTGTCTTTTGATAAAACATAATCACAAATTGATTTGTGTCCAAATTGAGAGGCAATATGAAGCACAGTTTTACCTTTAAATGTTGTTGAATCCAACATAAAACCCTCTTCGAGTAAATGCTTTAGAATTTCCAAGTTACCACCTTCACAAGCAAAATGCAAAAGTGAATATCCATCGCTGTCTCTTGTAAAAAGAAGTTGTTTTTCTCCAAAATGTTTTTGAATTTCATGATCAAATTGTTGCTTGTTTCCACGAAGACACGCCCCTTTTAAAGTCTTCAAATGCCGGACGTCGTCAACACCAAATTCCAAGTCTTGGTCTTCTTTTTCGGATTTCCCTCTTCTTCTTTCTCTCTTGCCTGAAAAGAGGAAGAATATAAATTTTATTTTTATTATAAAAACAGTGTTTAAATGACAAAAAGATACCATGATACTTAGAGTGTTATACAAGTAATAGCTTTTCAAAAAGCTTGCATGAATAATCAATCAATATCTATGGAACGTATATGCAAGAGAGGTGCTAACATTTCCGTCATCAAGGAGCGACATAGTTGCGATACTTCATTACACAAGATGTACAACTGACTTTCTCAAATGTCATAACCAAATACTACAAATTAACGAATATCGAAGGGATGCCACCATTTGGTCATTTATTAGTTAGCCCTCGGGCTGACTAGTTACGTTGGGATGAAACTGCAAGTGCGCTAGCATAGATTATAATCAAAGGCGGATCCAGCACCAGCGCGCCGGGCATGCAACCCCCCAATCCCCAATCCCCCGTTTGAATTTTTTGTATGTCGAACTTATATGTTCATTTTCCTAAAATCAAGGAAAAAGCACCTCTTATTTATAAGAATTCGTCAGCTTCCGGGGGGTTTCGCCCCCGAACCCCCATCAGGGCTTTGCCCTGGACCCACTGGGGTTTCAATACAGCCCCCCAGGCCCCCTGCCTTCTACTGCGCCCTCCCGTTATAAAATTCCTGGATCCGCCACTGATAATTCTGGGAAAAATAGTTAGATGATTCGTTTTAAAGAAATTCATATTACATGTACTCTCTTAGTAGAGGGCGCGCTTCTTCATGCACACTCCCTGATCAGTGATAGATTGATGAGACGGCCTCTATTTATAGACTGGTCTGTTTTCCGTCGTTCTCGACGACGAAGTAAATTATGAACAGTTTTAACTGGGAAAGTTGTCTTGAAGTGTTTGAGACAAAAATGCCTCAATGCTGCTCTAGAAATCAAATTAAGTAATGACCTGCACATTTTATAGATAGCGTAAAACAAGATACTAATAACACCCCCCCCCCCTTCCCCCGGACATAACTCACGCGATGATGGTCTTACCATATACATGTACATGTATTATAAATGAGTAAAAATACAGTTTTGAAATTGTTTAGTTTTTCTTTTCAATCGATTTCAGGACCTTTTTCATATTTATAATAACGTGCTTTTTTATGAAATGAAAACCAGTATAGATCACGATGTCTTCTTCATTTTGCCGATTTTTTACTTAGAATCTTACGGGAGTGAAGACCATTCATCTACGGGTACTGACCTACACTCTTGTCATTGTATTAAAAGGAAACCCTTGTTCATCACAAAGCATGAAATAATATGCTACTCGCTGACTTTCTAAGCTTTTTTTTTTTTAAAAAAAAAAAAAAAAAACCTAACCTTGTAACGTACATCAATAAATGTAATATTGAAAGAAAGGCTAGGTGATAAACAGACTGAATCAAGAAGGGATGTCCCATTTACTAGGTGGAGGGAGTTAGTTTGTTTATGATTAGACTAGTCCACTTATGGGATAAATAGTAAGAATAATCAGCAAAACCATTGCTTTGGTGTTGCCTGTCTATATACAATGTGTTCTCTTAAAAAATGAGATAAAATTTACTGTTAATAAAAAATCTAGAGCTTAAGAATCATGTTAAAAGAATAAACTTTATTTATTTCCGGAACGACCCAAGAAAAAGGCGCGAAGATAATTTACATGTGACATTTGGCGCGAAATGATTGTGTCACTCCTTTCAAAGAAGGCAAATGGACTGATCCAGTAGTTTAGAAACGCAGAAAAAATGTTACACGGACATGTCCGTACAAAGAATCGCAAAGAATAAACATGTGCATGCAAAAAAAACTGAAGGAATTAAAAACATCATTATTTTGCATCAGTTATTTGATTCTTTCTTCTGCAAACTGTATTTGTTTAAATGCAGGTAACAAATTCCGATGTAAATCAGCTTGCATAAAATCTAGTTCATTAAGAATGATCGCTTAGTTTCGGATCCCTGAAAAATTAATCCTTATACTGCCTGACGCACGTGGCGTCAGGCAATAAATACTAAAATGGAAAATCAGAGAAAACTATGTGCTGTCATAAGACGGTAATCTCCGCACTAAGGTGTTTGCCTCTAAATGTACACTCCTTCATATTTGGGTAATCAAGGAAAAAAGCCACAATAGTTCTATAATTTACACAGTACATAAATTTGTTAAAATGAGACAAAATGCTCAGATGGACCTGTGTCCCATGGGCCTCTTATGTAAGTATTTCATATACTAAATTCATCACCAGTCTAAGATTACAGAAGTTGATTAATGATGTAAATTAGGTTTTTTTTTTTATAAAAAAGTTTTGGCCCAAAATTGGAACTTTTCTATTTTTTTTTCCAAACCAAGAAATACTATTTTAGTGCATAACGTTTTTGATGAACTTCAAAAAAATTAGATGCCAACTTCCAGAATTGATCAAATTGTGCCAACTTTCTTCAGTATTTGGGTAGGCGAACACCCTCTCCAAAACCCACACACGATCAATTTTGTCAATGAACCCCACCCTCCCCACAATTTGCCTGGTTTTGGAATAGATAACACAAAGTTCTATAACAAACCTGTAAATATAATGCAAAATTTGTACCACGTGTACATCTTTTTCAAAATTTCTAGACCCGCGCCTCACATGGACTTGCATCAACCTACGAGTACTAGTTTTACCATTATCATTATTGGATTGCATATGGTGTACACATCGGAATTAACGTTATTGCATGCACATCTACACCAATCATCTTTCAAAAGATGATTAGGCTACTGCATAAAATGTAAGAGGAGTTCTTAAAACCAAAGTGTTTTTGTATTTAAACCAGAAGTCTCTGATTAGACTGTAGCACTACTGGTCTGTACGTATAACAAAGGAAAAGTAGCACTTGGATTTGAAACTTTGCAGCATGCAGCAATAAATAGAATTACGTATCTTAATGTAGTCTACTTCTGTGCCAAGTTATATTGAAATCAAACGAAAACTGTAGGAGGAGTAGCTTTTTGAAAGTATCTCACAGAAATTTCTATTTTTAGTAACCGTGACAACACCATTCACCGAAATCAAAAAACGAAATACATATTATGTATCTAAGTGTATTCTACTTGTGTGCCAAATTAGATTGAAATCAGACCAAAACTGTAGCAGGAGTAGCGTTTTAAATGAATTTCACAGAAATTTCTATTTTTAGTAACCATGGCAACACCGTTCATCAAAATCAAAAACCGATGCACTAAACTATGTATCTAAGTATAGTCTTCTTGTATGCCAAATTATATTAAAAGCAGACTAAAACTGTAGCAGGAGTAGTGTTTTAATGTAATTTCACATAAATTTCTATTTTTAGTAACCATGGCAACAATGTTCATCGAAATCAAAAACCGATGCACTAAATTATGTACCGTAGCGTAGTCTACTTGTGTCCCAAGTTATATTGAAATCAAACCAAAACTGTAGGAGGAGTAGCGTTTTAAATGAATTTCACATAAATTTCTATTTTTAGTAACCATTGCAACACCGTTCATTGAAATCAAAAACCGATGCACCAAATTATGTATCTTAGTGTAGTCTACTTGTGTGCCAAGTTATATTGAAATCAAACCAAAACTGTAGGAGGAGTAGCGTTTTAAATGAATTTCACAGAAATTTCTATTTTTAGTAACCATGACAACACCGTTCATCAAAATCAAAAACCGATGCACAAAATTATGTACCTTAGTGTAGTCTACTTGTGTACCAAGTTATATTGAAATCAGACCACAACTGTAGGAAGAGTAGCGTTTTAAATGAATTTCACAGAAATTTCTATTTTTAGTAACCATTGCAACAATGTTCATCGAAATCAAAAACCGATGCACTAAATTATGTATGTTAGTGTAGTCTACTTGTGTGCCAAGTTATATTGAAATCAGACCAAAACTGTAAGAGGAGTAGTGTTTTAAATGAATTTCACAGAAATTTCTATTTTTAGTAACCGTTGCAACACCGTTCATCGAAATCAAAAACCGATGCACTAAATTATGTATCTTAGTGTAGTCTACTTGTGTGCCAAGTTATATGAAAATCAGACCAAAATGGTAAGAGGAGTAGCGTTTTGAAAAATTGTTTAAAGACAGACGGACGGACAGACAGACAGACAGACGGACGGACGACGGACACCTTACTATTGCATAAGCTCTTCTGGTCTCTGACCAGTAGAGCTGAAAAATGGTCATTTTAGACCCCCATTTGACCCCCTGGGTGAAAATGATAATTCTGGAACCTCATTGCACGCACATCTACACCAATCATCTTCCAAAAGATGATTAGGCTACTGCATAAAATGTAAGGGGAGTTCCAGGAACCAGGTTTTTGTAGAAAAAACGTCATTTTTGGCTCCCGTTTTTCATTTGGGGTTATATTTAAAATTCCAAAACTTTACTTTAAACATCAACAGGACACCACCTTTCATATTCCAAAAGATTAATCGGTAACTGCTTAAAATAAAAGAAGAGTCGTGAAGAAGAAGAAAGTGCGACAGACGGACACACGGACGGATGGACCAGGGTAAGAACAGCATACCCGAACTTTCTTTAAAAAGTGCAGATATAAAAAGAGTCCCATAGGCCCCAACGGTTACCTGAGTCATGATGTTTTTCTATTCTTCATCAGCAGGTTTTTCCTTTCATTTGCATATTCCTAAGTAAAACTTTGATCGCTCATTGTAGTCCCTCCCACCCCTGGAGCTCATGATTTGAACAAACTTGAATTTATTCTACCTGAGGATGCTTCCATATAAATATGACAAACCGTAACTTTGCTGAGGAACTTTAAAGATTTTCTTCTATATATTCCATAAAGAAATTGTTAGCAATTATTTTTATTCTTAATTTACAATGGAATTCTTGGCGAATTTGACCGGTCGACAGGGGTCGCTTACCTCTCAATGGCACCTTATCCCAACTCTAATGTTTCAGGGGTATGTGTTAGCTCTGATCACATTTTGTTTTTGAGCATGACCACTGTTCGTTATCTTCGCTTTTCATATATTACATTTCAAACATAGCAACCCTATGTCTAATAAGTACCTTGAATAAATATTAATATATGAATACATATGCATATACATATATACATATATATGAATACGAGGTAAATTATTGACAAATAAGTTGATGAAACAAGAATATCAGCTGTCTCGTTTAAAGTCATCATTTCGTAAGTTCTATGGTCGATACAATGACCTTGTCAGCAAATACAATTTATCATTGAGTCAAATGCTGACTGACGTTTTTCATACTAATTGTTAGGCCATTATTTACACACTGAATTGTCGACGGATTTTTCCGTAATTTCCCGATCATGACAAGGAGCACACGACAGGTGTGACCGGTCGGCAGGGGATGCTCACTCCTCCATGGCACCTGATCCCACCTCTGATGTTTGGAGGTCCGTGTTTGCTCTGCTCCTATTTTGTATTGTATAATGGACTTTTGAGCTTGAATACTGTTCGTTATCTCCACATATTTCATAGTTATGAATATAAGATACCAAATAAGTGAAAGTTTTAGAGAGGTGCAAATTTGGCGATTTGTTTTTAAAGGTGCTTGGACACAGATTTGAAGTTAATATTTTCTCAAGTTTTCGGTAAAATATCATGAATTATATTTTGCTATCGCATTTCAAACGGAAATAAAATAAAAAACTTATTTTATCTGGAAATTATTGAAACTACAAATTTCGGGACGCGTTTGATTGATACATCCTGGCACTTTCATAAAGCAAACTTTATCCTTAATACTTAAGAAAAGTAAATTTTTTGTTGTGTATTAATGAAAAATATTCAAACTATAATCCAGAAAATTCAGAGTAGAAATGTAAGAAAGCAAAACCAACTCACAAGTATTGCCACTCCGTGCTCAGTGATGTGTGCAGCGTTTAACAAATTGAACACATCCGGTGAAAGGTAAACATTAAGAATAACAGAGCTCGTGCCCTGTTTACAAAAACAGTTAACGTTTCACGGGTGTGTTCAATTTGTTAAACTCTGCACACATCACTGAGCACGGACTGACAATACTGGTGAGTTGGTTTTGCTTTCTCACATTTCTACTCTTTATTTTCTGGATTATAGTTTAATTTTTTTTCATTAATGCACAACAAAATTTCTACTTTTCTTAACTACTAAGGATAAAGTTTACTTTGTGAGAGTGCATAGATGTATCAATCAAACGCGTCCCGAAATTTGTGGTTTCAATAATTTCCAGAAAAAATAATTTTTTTTAATTTTATTTCCATGTTAAATGCTATAAAAGCATATAAGTCATGATATTATACCGAAAATTTGAGAAAATATTAACTTCAAATCTGTGTCCAACCACCTTTAAAAATGAGTATTTAATTTTAGCGAGATGTTACTAGTATTGATGTCAAGAAAGACAACCGTAATTTTCAAAGCAGAATGAAAATTTTAGCAATCTCAACACCCTGGCAAAAAATGCCTAAATTGACTCCTCGCTAAAACTTTCACTTATCCGGTACCTTTAAAAATAAAAAAAAAAAAAATCTTAGAAATGTTCAATTTAAATAAATAAAGTATATACATCATCTTATTAAAAATTAAAAGGATTATTTCAAAAAGTTAATGTATAGCCTCTATAAAATATAGCTTGTTTATCTAACAGAACATTTGTCAATTTCAAGATATTAACCTCTGTAAATAATTTATGATAATTCACCAGCTGGTGCAAATTAAAAAAAAAAAAAAATTCTATTAGAAGATGACCTTACCGGTGATGGATATTCCTTTAGTCTGTCGATATCCATGAGATTCTGTTCTCTACAAAGGATGTCGAGATATTTTTAAAATTATAAAACGACTTTGAAAAATTCTCGCTACTGGTTTAATTTACCATTAAACGGTCACCTGAGAATCATGGGTTTCTCGAGCTATTGCCAACTTTATCTCACCTAGAACGGACACTTTGGACTCAGGTCTTAAAAATTTTCAGGACTGATGACTTTGTTGATTGAGTTTTGATATTTTACGCCTAGCCGGCAGTATTTCGGGTATTTCTCGGCAATGATGAGGACCCTTACATATAAAATTCATGATGACTGCTCTTTGAAGTTCGGGAAGATAAGCTACACTGCATAATAAATTTCAATATAATTATAATCAAATTAGTTCCATCCAAAGGCTTGACTTTAAACCAACGGGATGTGAATTTGATAATCTTCGCATGTTTGAAGAGCGCTATCTGCTCATTATGGACCAGTAATATGTCTATTAGAAAATGAAGATTTCAAAGATGTAATGTATTTGAGATATATACTGAAAGGAAAAATTAACGCAGGGTAACACAATATGCTAAAATGGTCAAGAACTACGAAAACTGGTCAGATGGATATGTTAGTTGTTGTGGACTAAAACCGGTGTTCAGAAATACTCAACCGTGAAATGTATGACCTCAAGTAGGGAACATAGTAAAAGGTCATAAAAACACGCGTATAGTATGTCAACTCATCTTGTAAAACCACTTGATGACTGGAGGTATACACACCGTTTTTCGATATTTTTCGATATTTGTAGACAATTTGAATTTCTTGCAATCAGGGTACGGCTAAAGGCTCTGGATATTGCATTGCCTGATTAAAGAAAAATTCAAGAACAAGTTGCTGTACAGTTTGTTATACCATAGAACGTATTATGCGTCTTCAGAGAGGAAATGGAAAGGTTTCAAAGCAACCATAAAGGTGACGTTAACAATGCAACGTCAAAATTGGGCTATTTATTCTATCGGATTGACTCTGCATCTCATAAGAATCCCACAGTTAAACCTTAAACAGTATTGCAGTCAGTGCGTTGAAAAATCCTTAGGTAAACGCAACGGAAGTGCATAAAGAATGTATTACCTATTATGATAACACCCGAGAGAGATTATTACGTACGTCAGGCCGAAACTCTCTCGGACGTTATTGTAATAAGTGATACATTCTTGGTGTACTTCCTTTGCGTTTACCTAAGGTTTTTTCAACACACTGAATGCAATGCTGTTTAAGGATTAATTGTGGGATTCTTACGAGATGCTGATAGCATGAACTAAGACAGAAATATATGTAGAGACAGTGTGAACCGACATTTCAGGTTAAAATAAAATAAATACATGTTTTTAAACCGACATTTTAGGTTAAAATAAAATAAATACACATTTTTAAACCCAGAAAGACTAGTGGGGGTACAACGTAAACAAACCGGAGTGACATACCTTTCTCTCTTATAATGTACAGTGGGGTATTTTTGTGTGGAACGATTATTTTGAGGTTTTCATAATTTTTTCCTATGGTACACACGATGAATAAGTGAAATAAACATGATTTGTGAAAAAAAATGTCAAACAAGCCCCGGGGTTGAATATCGGAGGGGGGGGGGGGTCCTGTCCACAAGTACCTGTGGAAAATACATAGGGATCGGTATATCAAAAGGATCGCTGATAATTGAATTGCAGTAATGACACACTGAAATCTCTTTTGGGGAATAGTTGGATAAAACACGTATTAATAAAATTAAAAAAAAAAAAACAACCAACAGATTCTTTATTCATTTTAGCTTTCAGTGTTGGGGAACCATATTTCTATTTCATTTTCATATTATATATGATAAATGCTATTCCATCGGTCTTACTATCCGTGGGTTATCTTTTATTCTTTGCTGGCAAATACCTGAACTACAATGTTTGTAGCAAATAAATAGCTGACCATCTTCAGATTTACTTTAATTTTCAATGAGGGAATAAAGCAGGCAACACATGCGTTCTTTGGAACACTTTAGTTTCAATATAAGAACAAAAAACTTGGTCTTATACCCCAAGCGATGAATTTCACAAGTTTGGTACAAGGTTGAGTACTTGTAATATTCATGCAAACTGTGCGCCCATTATATGTCTTTCAGATAAGAAAAAGATTCTGAAAGATGTACTATATTTTAAATGTACGATTATCTTTGCCAAATCACGGGCTTGAACGCTGGACCTATGAGACGCGAATTTTACAATTTTTGGAAATGGATAAATAATCATTGTAATCAAACAGTTTTCTGCAAGATGTTCAAAATAATTTTTAAAGGTGTAATGACAAACTAGGCCCAACCCTAGAGCCTGAACCATGGTTCGAGGGTTGAGGGAGTTAAATATTTAACAGTTTTGATAGAAGGCTGTGCTTATAATATTCATGGATAAGGTAACTGCGAAATGTCAATGAAGAGACGATTTTTCTAAGAGGTAATGTATTAATTAAGCACCGTTCTTGGGTCTGAATCATTGACCAATTGGCGGCCATGAATTTCACAACTTTTATAAAAGCTTGAGTATTAATTTTGTTTCATTGATTGAGTACTACTCATAATCATGTTTGATTTCCATGAGTAAAGTAAACGATATAATGCAATGTAATATCTGAGTAATTAAGCCACAACATAGAGCATGGAATATGAATGTCACACTTTTGGCAAAGAGATATTGCGTAATATAACCACACCAACAGTTTGACTTTTTAATATCCAGGAGTAAAGAATAATATTTTTGAAGATGCATCAACTTTGATAGTTTTATACAAAAAACCAATCCCTTAGGCCCCAGAGACAGAGAGACCATGAATTTCGCCATTTCTGTTTCCTCTGCCTATAAATGCTATCCACCGATATTGATTGAAATTGCTTTAGCCGTTCTAGAGACGAGTCTAACACACAACGAACAATGGACGGCGGACGAAAACAGAAAGAAAGAGGTAACTTGGGTAACCTAAAAAAATTAGAACACGTGATATGTTTTCGAGAAGATGGTACACTCTCGTGTTAATGAATTATTATAACTTTTTGCATACCCCTTCCAAGATTTCAAGAAGGTTTTCAACAGGTACTTGATGCTTTTCAATTCCACATGCACTACATACTTTCGTCCGTGTGTCTTTGATTTTCAAAAGTTCCCCCACAGAAAGAAATCTCGAATTTCCAATTTCAAAAACCTTTGTAACTTTACATCGACAGCCAATGGTAAAAGTAATATTAGTTGGAAAAGGTCTTGTCAAAATCTGGAGAATTTCCTCCATTCTTCTCAAGATATCAATTTTTAAATTTTGACCCACTGGCGAGTCATCACTTTCAAGAATTTGCACATCTAAAATATTATCGTTAATTTTGATTGCAACATCAACTTCTTCGTAGCTCAAAAAACAAGAGTTTCTGAAAATATATTTCTGTCCAGATTCTTCAAGTATTGACCAACCATAACTGCAAACACAGGTAACCAAAAATCTCCAAAATATGAAATTCGGAAAAAAATCAAATTGGAAGCTGAAAACAAAATTTTTGTGGCATTTTGCGATATCGCTGTGTGAGATTTTCCTTTTAGTCATGCATGGAATCAGGTGAACATATTTTGTTTCTTCAGAGCCTCTTGCTAACAATCCCAAATGCTGCATGTAGCTCAAGAGTTCACTTTTATGCTTAAAAAACGAGTCTCTGCTATCTTCAGTCCGTTTCCAAATTTCTTCAAGCAAAGTATCATCTAATTCCCCCGTTTGATTACATTTTTTCCACAATGCAAATTTGATATTTTGAAGCTGCAAGTCTTGGTTATCTGTGATAATATTTTTGAAGGCATTCACAAACCATTGAACATCTAATATGACTGTGTCTTCTAGTTCAGCGCTGTCAAAATATAAAATCGTTCCTATTTCATGAAAAAAGCGTAAGGCATCTTTCAGTTCCTTGATATCAATTCTGATATGTTCACTCATTTGTCGGCATAATTTGTGCAAATCCTGTATCTTCATGATTTTTGAAGTTTCCTTCCTTTTTCTTATTTCATTCTCAAAAACCACCCAAGAACTTGGAAGATCTTCGCCCCAATAAGGTTGCTTTTCCACTGTCTTTCTGATGTCTATCTTGAGATCTTCTACGCTAGCAGGTTGACAAGTGTTATCCCTCGGCAAAGTCAAAGTAATTATTTTATCCTTTACCAAGTGTTTTGAGACAAGGTCATAACCAAAAATCTCAAAAAGTTCCTTCTCAAATTTTTCAATGTCCTGGTTTAAAAAAATAAAATTAAAAAAAAAGACAACAAAATAATCTTTTACAAAAATGTAGTGTCATCATGTCACAAAATGAATCACTTCCTTAAGATGGTTTGTAGCTGCTTAAAATATAATTGAAGATCGTCTTCAAGTCACATTAAAGCACCTTAAACTATCTTTAAGTAACATATAGACCATTATTAAGCGAGAATTAAGCCACCTTTAACTATATACGTAAAGGTGATGAAAGGCAGCTTTAAGGTGGCTTAAAGATGGATTGTAGGTGGTTTTAGGCGGCCTCTAGACAGTCTTTAAATTATCTAGAAGCTACCATCAAGACAGACGTATAGGTTCATAGTGTCCAAGCTTCTTTTAGCCATCCTTAGGCCACAATTTACACCATTTAAGATATAAATTAGATAACAATTTTTTTTATTTATTAATTCCCATCTCCAAAAAAAAAAAACTACCTGCTTTACACATTAACGACACAAAGAGTACATTTTGTTTAAAAAAAAAAGGCAGAAGAGCCTGAATTTGAACTCGCGATCCTCACTTTTGATGGAAAAAGTTTTTAAAATAATCTTTATTACAGCGAATACCTTAACCATTCTGCTACATCGTCTCATAATTATTTTGGGTATTATGGAATCCATATAGTTGATTAAATGAGTGTAAAACTAAGGGAGTAAGGGCATAAAAAGAACTTGGATTATATATATTATATAAAGGAATATGCTTAATGTTACGTAAATCTAATTGATACGATTTCAGGGAGAGACGACTTTACTAAAACCTCCTCACTTTATGGATCTATTTTGTATTTTAACTAAATAACTTCTTTAAGCTCTTTTAAGTCACCTTTAAGCCACGTTCAGCGACTGCTTAGAAATCATTTTTCGTCCTTCTTCACTGTCTGAAGACTCAAGCATTATACAATCTGTTCTTAAATTAGGGGAATGTGAGGAATATCGTAGTAGTTTTGCATAACGTTTTAGGTAGGCCCTAGCCATAATATAATGGCTGATTTTAATATTACTAAGACTTGAGCTTGATTACTGTTCGATATCATATTTCATTCACACAATTATTGTGTGTTTTAACTGCAAAAGCAAATTATTTTTAAAGAAAGTCGAAATATAAGCAGTTTAAGTTTATTTAGTTATAATTTCTACAACTTTTATTTTCTCATATGATAGAACCTAGAGTATCTTAAACTCATATGGAGTATTTGTAAACCAATTATGTGAATTCAAACACATCTTCGAAGTAGGTTGAAAAAAAGTATTGTTTATATGCGTATAAACACGTTTGTCATAGGGTGTGCATTACATGTTAATTTTTACAGACATCAACAGGGCTCTAATTGGGGACTAATTTAGTCGCCATGGCGCCTAAAAATGATTGCCGCCTAAAATGTCTATATAAGTCGCAAAATTGGCGACCATTTTTAATTGACTTTGCGATCGTCCTGAAATCTTTTAACATTTTTTTTCTGAAGAAGCGAAAAGAAATTGAAGAGTGGGGAAAATATATTTTAACAATGGACATGTCTTGTTTTCTTTGTCACCTTCTTTGTTTTTTGCGTCGCGTCAGTGCATACGGAGCTGAAGTAGACTAAATAAGATAATAGATGCCTCGGTAATTTTTGACTCCAGGAATCGACGAGTATGAAATGCAGTAGATTGGACGGGTGATGTAGTCAATTGTTTGCCATTAGAGATATAGTGTGCAAGTTCGTTTTAGGTCACTTGCATACGTACGTGCCAACATCCATCATGGGTCCCTAGATTGACTAATAATATCAGCTTTTAAAGTTAGCGCCTAAGAAAAATTCGCTTGGCGACTTAAAACATGCACTGGCGGCTAAATCTTTATGATTAGAAGTCAGCTGGCGCCTAAATTTTAGAGGCCACTTAGAGGCCTGATCAAATACTTTATGAAAAGTTTTCATCAGTGAAAACACCTAGGAAAGCATGTACTTTGCTTGTATTCTACAAACCTGTTTAAGATATACGGAAATACCATTCAGAAAAACTTTACCTACGATAAATGCATGTATATTTCAAACACATGTAAAGTCGTGTACATTATAAAATATCTATGTGTGTTGGAATATTTCTTTTTCCACACAGAGGGGCTTCAAATATGTTCACAAAGTTATCTTTAAATTTATACATATAATATGTAAATGTATAAGTATTCAGTTTAAAGTTGCGTTTTTGGCTTTTTGCTTAAAAAGTCATACAGCTTTTTTTTTTACTAAGTTAACTTACATCTTGGCATTTATCCTCTGCATGCGTTGCGACAATTATAACTGGTGCATTTGGACTGCTGTACGTGTGTATAGATTTCATCCAAAATGCATAGAAATCTAAGTCGAAAAAATGTTTACATATTGTATAACTTTCATCTACTCATAATTTTAAGATTTCAATCAGATGTAGGTTCAAGCATCATTTTGAAATGAGTATTATAAATACCAACCTCTATACCTCCAAGTCTCAAAGACTGTTTCACTATGATCACAAACATCTTCACCAACAACAGCATTTAAGTCTTTAGACATATCGATAACTAAAATGTAGAATGCTCTTGCACTGAAATAAATCTGATGACATGCATAGTAGGCAGACTGACCAGCAAAATCAAGCAAAGTTATCAGCTGTACACTTCTTTCGCCATGAAAAGCTACATTTCTTAAAGTTTGGAGAAATGGATCATAAGTTTCTTCATCATGTACTTCCACGTTTATCGGATTCTCAAAAGATTTTTCCGAGACAGGTGATCCTGGCCATTTTTCATCTAATTTAATCTGTCCTAATTCTGTGATTTCATGACTTTCAGAAATAAGACTTGTCTGAAGGGTGGAATTTTCCATTTGTGGATCATGGTGAATCTCACTTTTGGACTGTATAGTCTCTTTGGGTATATCTATGCTTGTATTTATTTCTTCTTCATGTACAGATGGGTTAGGATGTGCCTTCTGTTTAAGAATTGGCAGTTGAACACACTGAATTCTGTCTTGTGGTATGTTGAAATACTTCACACTTTGGTTTTTGTTTACTAAAAAAGAATAAGGGATATCATTGTGTCTTTCTGAAATTTTATACAGAATATGGACATTATTAGAACTAGAGTCTTCTAATTTTTCTACTTTTCATTTTATTTATTTTTTTTAGACCAGTATTATAGTTCATGTATTAAGCTGACAGAAAGAAAATCCATCCGTAGATATCGAGACTGTATTTCATAATAAAATATGACAATCCAACAGAAAGAATATTGTACGACCTGAAAGCCAAAATGAACAATTAAACGGAAATTTTTAGAAATAAATTATTCATTTATGTTCAATTTAGCAATCAATCAGATCCCATTAGACTGATTCAAATACAATCTAAACATCGTCTTGTCTAACCTTTCAATGCATTTCCCTCTACTTTGAAAACATCAGTGTGAACGTCTAATCCTTTTGTCGGTTCAGTCTTCAAAATTTCAGCTATTGAACAGTCTTTCAAACGTTTAAGTAGAGTTGTTTTTCCTGCTCCAGCACAGCCAACAATCATCCCCTTTGTGTGATAAACTGGTTCTTTGCCACCATTATCAAGATAAGCGATAAACCTTTGAATACCGTCTTTTCCCCATTTCAAGACTTCCACAGGGATATCAACTGTAAAATAATAATTTAAAAATCTAAACAACTGTTATGTGATTATAAGGTCTAAATTGAAATTGATTTTAAGACAGGCATGTGACATCTTATATAATCACACTTTCAAAGTGATTGTTAGAATATAATATATAGCCATTAACAGGTTGGCGAATTCTGGACCTATGTGGAATAAGAAAATTTAACTACGTTGCGTATGTTCTTAAAGAACACATCTAAGATGCAATGATCTAAAATATGTTAGAAAGCAAAAGAGATACAACTAAAACAGAATCTCTCATAGTTCAAACGACCTCTGAACTTGACCTGAATTTCAAAGAGAAAGTTGACGATTCCATTGAAGTTGTTCTTATGTTTATAGGATTGTACGTTAAAACTTGATTTCAAGTTAAAACTTTCAGGAAAGATGCAAATTAATAATAAAAGGGATTGTGACGTTACGTATCGCCGTTTTGCACATATTGTTGCCGGCGACAATATTTACCTACCATCACTGCGCATGTTGTCACCCATCAGTACATATTGTCATCAGTGGCAATATGTGCCGGTGTTGTAAAGTGAGACTTCCCCCATAGTCAGACTTACCCAAAGAAGTCTTGCTCTAGAGTGACACTTCCCCTGGAAGTTTGGATCTAGATTGAGGCTTCCCCCTGGGGGATGAATGACTTCAGAGCATGAGAACCCACAGGAAAGTACCACTCTAGAGCCCCATTCCATTTAGGAAGACCTACTCTACCACTAGTTTTAGAGTTAGACCTCCCCCATAGTAGGTATATTATGGCCCCTTCATTTAATATTAATTTAATAGTTCTACCATCACTCAAACGAGATTGGTGTATATCAGTATGATATGCCAAGATACCAGAATTCTGAAAAATCAGCTTACTCTTTTACTCTCTCTCTCTCTCTCTCCCTCTCTCTCTCTATATATATAGAGAGAGAGAGAGGGGGGGAGGGAGAGAGATTTTTTGACAATTCTCTGTGTTCAGAGAATTTATTTATTTTAATTATTTATGGATTTATTTTTGTGTTATTCTTATACATGTATCGATATTGGTTGGGTTGTAGGTCGACATTTTTCATTTTTAAGTCCTCTCAATAAACCTGCTTTGATAGAAGTTATATTATACAGTTATTGATTGGGTATGAGAGCAATATGTAATCAACTACTTTCTTTTGAAAATTTTGGCTTGATCAATAAAAATAAAACAATAGCAGAGAATGAAAAAAATTATTAATAAAATTATTATATCACAAAAATTATTTATCACAATACATACTCTTTCAACTAGCATACCTCTCTTGCACCTCTAAACTTCGGCTAATTCCGTGTCGCCGACATTGAACGACGATTAATTACTTGTGACGTAGCAGTGACGTTGCGGTCTAACAATTCTTATGTTGGACTGGCAAGCCGGTCAACAATGAAATTGTTAGACCGATGCAATAATCATTTCTTTTGTTGGACTTTTTTTATTAGTAATAAATATCAAGAAAAATATTTATAAGGGTATAACAAATATTCTTAAATGCTTCTTCAGTCATTTTGTGGAATTGTTAGTATTAGTATTAGTGCAATGGTTTTCAATGAGTCGGAAATGATGACTTTTTTAAATCAATAATCGGATGTTTGATTGAAGGTTCAGAGAGAGAGAGAGAGAGAGAGAGAGAGAGAGAGAGAGAGAGAGAGATTCCTGGTGTCTTTTTGTCAGTTTATATTAATCATGCTATTTACACTATTCTCCTGCTAGTAGAAATGCTTGTACAAATGTATATTAAATATAGCATTCAAAGCAGGTGCTTTACTGGAGTTGAAAAAAAATTACAAGTAAGCTCTCTCATGAATCATCATTTTTATTACTACTGTCATCATCCATATTACTGTAACTCTAACTCTGGAGTGACAATATGTGCATTAAGGATAAGTAGGCACATATTGTCTCCATCGACAATATATTCATGCATAATTTTGCAGTCTGCGACATTGTGTCGATCGATGGACGACAGTATGTGCAGTGAGGATAGGTGCATATTATTTACAATAATATGTACGATAATATGTTCAAAACAACAATATGAACCGTCACAGAAGTCAATAAATCCTTGTGTACTGTATTCATTGGAAAGTCAATTAAATTAGTAGAGGACTAACGTGAATGTTTAGTGTCCTTACAGTTTTGTGGTTACAGGAGAAGTAGCGATATTGCAGGTGCAGGAAGCGATAAATGAAGATAGAGTCACAGTTCAAAGTTGTTGGGTTGAATTTTTGGATGCTTAGAGTTGTCAATTATCATATTTGATAATCTTAAATATTTAAGTAGTAAAACCGAAAACGGATGGACAGAAAAGGGAAAAGTACTGTCATTTGAAAAGAAATTTTATATTTGTGCGGTTTTCCATATGAAGGAATATTATACCCAATTATTTATTGTTTCTTGATGGAGAAAAATTCTATTCTACTAATCCTGGCACGTTTCTGGAGGAAAAACTGTGCAGGGAAAGTCTATGATGTAATACCAGTATTCATCATGTTGTTTTGAACATATTTTATTGATTAAATCAAAAGGATTGGAAACAAGTTCTAAAATAACTTACTAGTTCCTCTCCTTATATAATACAGTTTGTCATGCAAATTAAAGAAAAATAATACAAATGATACAAATAAAATTTAACATATCAACTAAGAAAATCTACATGTTTCATCAATAAATTTATGAACAGCAGCAAAAATACTGTTATTTATCTGTAAAGGCAAATTTTCATCACCACATAGTAATAGGTTTAAATCAATAGTGACCAATTCAAGCATGAACAAGCGATTGAAAAGAGTATTTCTAGCATTGGAATAATTTTTGCATGCAAAAAAGAAATGGTACACATCTTCGCGTTTTCCGCACGAACACGAAGGACTATTAATAATATTTCGTTTATATAAATCATAGTTTAGTATACAATAATGTCTTAGCTTAGTATGAATGATATTGGTATATCGCTTTCCATAAGAAAAGTATGATGGTGGATTTTTCAGTTTTCCTACCAAGTTTTTTTCTGAATGAATTATGATGGCTTCCCTAACCTCTATTTTTAGTAAATTCCATTGTTTTATAGCATCGGGTACGAAGGAATTCCTAAATAATTCTAATCTGCATCTTGGAACAACATAATCTTCTTTATTACGAGTATTGTACGTTGATACATGTTCGCGTTTATTGGGGACAATATTCTGCAAATATTCAGGTACTCTTCCCGTGTGAATTTTGAACATAGTTGTCATTTTTGCAATATATCGCCTAGCTTTTAATGTTTCCCATCCAGTTTCAGAATATAGTGCTTCTCTAGAAACAAATATAGGAAGTCCTGTTACAATTCTAGCGGCAGTTAGTTGTACTTTTTCAAGCTTTTCAGAATCGTGTTTAGAGCAGCCATCCCAAACAATGGAAGCATATTCAAGCATAGGTCTAATAAACGTAATATACAATTTTGATAGGTTTTTCCTACCGATTTTGAACTTAAGCTTTTTTAAAAGGCCAAGTTTTTTACATGTTCATGTTAGATCAAAAGCTATAAATAAAATGGAGTTAATAAACCGAATACAGTTGATTTAAAATAATTTATTATCCATTAGTATTTTTTAAATGAATACTACTTGACAAGAGAAATAGATTAATTTAAATAAATTGTGCTTAAAAAGAAGGAATATCAAATGGTGTTTTATTGCTTGCCGCTCGATAAAAGTATGCATTTAAATGTAATGATTTTTGAAAATTACACTTAATTTAAAAGAGGAGGCTCGTTACACCACTTTTTGATGACGTAATACACAGAAAAATAAACTTAAATTGTTTCGTCCGTTTTCTCCTTGGGACGAATTGTACAGGTTCGCTTTGCTGATGATCGAAATCTTTAAAACGCTCTAAGAATAGACTACATGTATTATTGCAAACAATGAGAACAAGGTAACGGATTCATTATAAATCACAAACGAAGAGGGAGTATTTTTAAGTAGAGACCAGAGAGAATGACAGTCAAAATTTCGCTACCCAAGTAGTGTACAATGTCATAGCGAAAGCAGCAAGTTCTACCACTGACAACATGTACGTATAGAGGAAATTCGAGTTGAAATCTACAACTCGTTGAAATAAATTATAATTGATATTTAAGAGTACTGTACTCTTGTTGGTTTGGTGCTTGTCTTTATTTCTTTGAAAAATGTACATTTATTCTAGAAATTTTAGATTATTCTGAATCTCATATAATCAACCGTTCCTGGGTGTTCTGAGTCAGGGGAATTTAGGAAAGATATCTCTTGCAAGTGGATATTAATTCCAATTATTTTTCAAATTGGAATTTACATTTCCCTAAACATTTTTCATTCAATTTGTCACTTGTTATTCATTAATATACATTCCTTGTCTATTTATAACTGATTTTCCAGATTATCCATGCAAAGATTAAGAAGAAAATCACATTAATTCTTTTTGGGGAGAAAATTATTTTTTCTAATAAAAATAATATTATATATTATGAAGTGTTATTATATTGCTTACATATCTGAAGATGATATCCATCATTTGACACTGAGATTTCTGCAATACTTTCAATCAGAAACTTGAAATAAAACATTTAACCAAAATCAGAAAAAAAAAAAAATATTTTAAAAATAGAAATCGTATCATAACCTCCATTTGGATATTTGAAATCTTCATAATAAGTGGTACTGTAATGAAATCTAAAATAAACTGTGGGTGTAACAGCCTCCTTAACGCATCCGGAATCTGCGATGCATAAACTTTACTAAAATTATTCAGAATTTTCTGAACAAAAAAAAAAAAAAAAAAAAAAAAAAAAAAAAAAAAAATAAGAAAACCAAACTATGTTTTTAAAAATAGATGCGATAAAATAAAATGATTCAAAATATGCATACATTTCTTTGAGAGCTTTTCATGAATCAAGGGATCTTGTACCGTCGGATGTGTTAATATTTTCTGCCCAAGTTTTTCAATCAATTTGTCCGTATAATCGACAGGTAGCTGCATACATCGTTCTAGGGAAACCTTTTGATAGCCACTGGTTCTACAAAATTGTGCAATGGTTTCCTTTGAAGCATTTTCCAAGAAAAAATCCAGACGACCACATCCTTCAAACTTGCTCTGTCGGAAAAAACTCCAGAAAATTTCAAAATATAAATCATCGGGAACTTCCAGGTCACCTTCAGATATGGAATGAAACATATTAAACACTGTTTTTGCATAAATTCTTGCCTTTTCTTCGGTAATGTCATCTAATTCAAACACATGTCTAACTTTATTCAAAACTATTAACCAACAATTATCTGATCCATCATCAATTTGATTTGTTTTTGTAAATAAAATGGAATAGAAAACCGTCAGAAGATTAAGTGGCAGTTCGTCCAACTTTTCTACAAAGAAAAAAAAATATAAATTAAAGCATATCAAAGCATGTTTCATTATTTAAATGTACCTGAGCTTCGTTTAGTCCTAAATGAAATTCATCAATTACTTAATTCTAAAACAACTAAGAGTATAAGTAAAATTTTTGAAAAATCGATATATAAATACATGTATTAGCTAGAAAATTATAATCTTAAATTGGTATAATACCTGCCTTTTTACGCAGAATTCAATAGATGAATTTTAAGAGTAATTGGAAAGATTATTTTCACTCAAGTTTTTTAATTTTATGTATTGTTATTTTCGATTATGCTACTTTTAGTTCTGCGTAACCCTTCAAATTACAGCAATCAAATATCAAAATTAATTACATAATAAGAAGGTTTTTAAGGAAACTATTCTTTGCTTATCAATATGATTATAAGAGCAGTAATAAAAAAAAGCGTTTAATGTAAACGCTGCAATGATTTAAAATAGAAAAAGAAATTGAAAAAGAGTGAGTGAAAATAAGCTGTGTAATAACTTTTATTTATCTAAATTCTGTGTAGAAAGGCAGGTATCATACCAATTTAAAAGTCTACAAGTTAAATATTTCATCAAAAACAAAACATTTGCTTAAAGCAAATTAAAATAAATCTTCCTGGAAACATATAAGACAAAAAATGTATACTGAAACTTGTTTATCACTTAGAACTTTTACAGATCAAAGGAATAAGGATGAGGAAAATGATGTCCGAGCAAGCTCTAGCGGTATAATGTCCCTTACTTACTAAAATTCACTTTCAATATCTAAAAAAGGTTCGGAAATTGCATAAAAACGCCAACCTCGATAGGGTGTCCTCCAAAGACTTCTTTCGTTTGGTTTTTCTAGTACAAAAAGAATACGTTCATGATCAACTTCTAGTCATTTTAGACCCCTTCCTTAATACTTTCGAATATATAGGAAATATATAGGAAAATAAGTGTTAAACATAAACTTAAACGTAACATCGCAACCTGCAGCTGGCAATGTCTGATTTTTAATGTCATGAATATAAAAAAATCCAAGCATCTATTCCTAAAGTTAAAGGTGTACTATTATTTTGCTTCTAATATCTAAAACACATTATACCTTTTCTGTATGTCAGCTTTTCTCTTTCTTTTCCATCTAAAATATTGTTTGAAAGACTTAAAATACTAAGATCTGATGCATTTTGCAAACACATTATAATATATCTGATTCCCAAAGACGTTCTTTATTGATTCAGATATATCCAAATGCCAATTTTTTAAAAAAAAAAAAAAAAACATGGAGACATATTTCAAAAATAATATTTTTTCAATGAACATGCATTTGCATTTTGACTATGAAATTAAAAATTAAGATAGCGTGTGTCCGAGTTCAAAAATTTATGTAATTTAATTTTATAAATTGCACATTGCATAATATTATTTTAATTTAAGACCTGTTTCCTGTAGAAGAGTTTCTTCTGTTTCAGGGTCTGATTTCCGTTTTATATCTTAAATAAAAAAGAAACCCAGTCATATTATATTGATTGATCAAAAGTTGACCAAGAGGCTAAAGGGCCTTAGCAGTCACCTGAGTATAATACAACATAGTAAAGGACCCATAGAAGTTAGAAATAAAAACAAAACCCACTGACAGATGAAGCTATGTTGCCCAAAAGCAAGAGAAATAGGATGAACAGTGTCAACAAAATATATAGTCTAGTGGACTTTTGCGAGAAGCGCTGACTTTTACAAACGACGACTTACTTTTATTCTAGAGCATTATACGGAAGCTCTTTTGCGATATAAACATTAAGCTCAAGAGCTAATTAAACGATGATAAAGGGCCATTTCAAAGCAAATATTACGTTGTCTAGGAAGGGATCGGCATCCATCCTGCCCTTAACCCCCTCCATTCCCACATTGACCAATTCTTGCTTAGTTTTTCTTCCGATATGTTTTTTTCTTCCTTATTTCATTCCTTCAGAAAAATTAGATTGAAAGGAGGTACTAACCTCACTAATAAGGTAATTTAAGGTATGCAATTCTACCTCTCATCATCTCTTGCATTGATTGCATACCGGTAAATCATGTTAGTGCCCCTACCACCATACCTATAACCACTATTAGGATTTTCTTGTCTATTATCCATTCCGTGCCTCCGTACATAAGGCAGGTTTAAATGTCAAAGTAAGCCATCGACTGTAAAATTCAGTGCTTCTCGAAAAAGTCCATTACTCAGTAACAAATAACAAATCTTAAAGTACACCTATTCACTTGCCTGATCTGCCTACTTTTGTCACAATCACCATGCAGATTAATCAAAACAATAACGCTAAAGCACTATTAATAATCCCAACTCATACTCTTTCATATTTACATGTACCTCTCTCGATATTTAGAAGAAAATTTAATGTACAAAGATATTATTTTTATGTATCTATTATTTACAGGTCTATCTGAGCATTGACAACTATAAAAGTACATTTCATAGTTTAATAGCAAAGGAGAATAACTTCTAACTTCTCTCAGTAGAATACAAGATAGAACACTGTCCAGCACCACAAAGCTTGCCAAGTGATTCACAATGTTGAAAGAGGCTCCCTTGCATATTTAAACCATTCACTTAGATTGCGTTATATCCAGAAGTAGAGTCGAGAAAAGAAGATTGCAAAGATATAATGCATTTTTACTACATCATCTATTTAGCCAGCCCCCTCCCACCAGGACCTCTGTCTCTGGTGCCATAATTTTCAAAATTTTGGAAGAGGACCCATTGCTCATCAAAACCATGCACTTAATTTATCTGTAGAATATCATAGAGCAGAGAAAAAAGATTTTCAAACAAAATAATGTACTTTCAGTATAAAACCATAAGAATCCCATCCTAACACCGGAATCCCCAACCCTGGGAAGAAGCACCCTTTCTCATTTTACCATTCATTTATTTTGTTTGCTTAAAACCAAGAAGCAGACAAAAAGATTTTCAAAGAAATACGTATACTGCATTTTCACTATATTTTCGATAGAGTCCCCCACCATTCCACCAGAACCTCTGATCCTGGGGCCATATATTTCAAATTTGGATGGCACCCTTGCTCGTTATAACCATACATCTAGTTCATCTGCTAAATATACAGGAGGATAGAAGAAGATTTTTAAAGCATTAATGCATTTACACTGTATGTTATCAGAGCCCCGCCCTTACTCCACAGCCCTTGACCCTGGGGCCAAAACTTTCACAATTTTGGTAGAGAACTCAATGCCTATTACAATCACGCCAACTGTTTGACAGTTTGATGTCCAGTAGTAAAGAAGATTTTTAAAGATAGGACTAATATTGATAATTTAAGCTCCACCCCAGGAGGTGCAGGAACCATGAAATTCACAATTTTTATATCCCTCCATCCATTTATGCTAAAAATTGGTTGAAATTAGTTCAGTTATTATGAGAAGAAGCTGAAAATGTTTAAATGTTTACGACCGACGAAAGACAGACAAAAACAAATAGCAATAGGTCACCTGATAGACTCAGATGTCCGGAAAATATAAAATCATAAAAACAAAAAAATCTTTAATATAATAATTTCTTTGTGTAATGAGTAATGTGTATCTTCAAAAAGAACACTCATCATTTACAAGAGAATTTCCCCTTATTATAAATTACTTTTAAATATACTTTCCCGCAAAGCAAATAAAAACCCAATTGTTTTCCTTTTGATACTTAGAGCTTTGAAAAATATATCATTTTACGCTATGTGCCGCATTGGCAAAATAATATCATTTTATTACTTATTTGATTTGTTATATTTTACATATATTTTAGAAATTGATGGTTAAAGCATGATAGTTAATAATAAAAAAAATGTAACATTTACACAGAAATTAAATTTACACTAATGCCTACCTTCAAAATTGGATATAATTGGTGTTAATTTAAGAAAAAATTCTTATTAGTTTTCAAATCTGATAAATTTTGAAAAACCTTAATGATTTTTTTTTGCAAGCATAATCTACGAAAAATTTCTTTGGTAGAAATGGTTGTGTTATATAAATATATGGCATTTATCTAGTCAGACTTTGAAGTTAAACATAGTAGCATTCCATAGGTTCTTATTATCGGCCGCAGCAGCGGCTGATCTATTTGTGATTGTGTTAAAAAGTGCACATGGAGAAATGAGACGTTATTTCTTTATTAATTCAGTAAAATAATTCTTTCATGATAACATGTATAAAATAATGGGTAAAATAGTTTGAAAATTTGTTTTCAATTAAAATTGTTGTTATTACATTTCAATTTCTTTTTCATTTTTCATGAGATAATTGTTAATTAATGATTAATATATAAAAAGAACTCTCCAACCTGGGAGTGTATAAGATATGAACGCAAATCGGTTTGATTTTCCGCATAAGTGCATGTTGAATTAAAACAAATAAAAATTGTTTTGAATATGTTATAGCTGCAAATGACACAAGGATAATTTTTTTCTACATATTGCACCGCACCGTGCAGCATAGCTCATCAGCATCATCACGTGACAAAGATCCAGAGTATCAGCAAGTTGGCCATCTTGAGATCTGAATATAAGTAAGCCTAGGGCTACAACTTCATTTTGATGACAATAAATTCTTATCATTTATAACTGCCTTTATAACATCGATGAATCAATTTGATGAACAAATGTACTAAAATTTTTATTTATTTATTTATTAATTTATTTTTATTTTATTTTATTTAATTATTTATTTATTTATTTTATTTTATTTTGTTTGTTTTTTGTTTGTTTTTGTTTTTGCTTTGAAGACAGTCTGAAATAAAAACTAACCCTCTTTCAGCTTTGAATATCCTTTTGTTTTCGTGGATTCTTAATTGTGAATTTCAAAGTACTTTTTGAAACTTAAATTTTGTTTGCATTGCATCAATTGTACTTGTTAATAATGTAAATACATTTCTCACCTCTTCGACAACATCGATAGTAGACGAAAATCGCCAGAATCAAGGGTAGGATTGCAAGTAGTCCAAGTAACCGTATGTCCCCTGATCTCTCATCCGAGTCTGAGGAGACATCTTTGGTTATATTTTGGAGATTCGGATTTGAAGTGCTCCTACAAAACAAATATATAGATACAGAACTTCCTGAGCGGTATGATACATAACTATACTTATAGATATTACTTGTAATTAGTGTGTCGGTAGTCTAATCTAAACAGAAGACAGGGTCAATTCACAGTCTTGTAAATTAAGTTCGCGCTCTGTATATTTCTTTGTTTATCCTTATATATTTCTATTACCTTCTAAAGTGCCTTTGTACGAATACAATAAAGATTTGAAGAAAGTCCTCTCGCTTTTATCTTTTACATTCATTTTAGTTTAATTTAAAAGTTTAACACTATCTCTATGAACATAATTTGAAAAAATACAATATCTAGATAACTGTATGACAGTTTATGAATTCAAGAGCTTTGATCACTTTGACAAAAATTGGTACTGTGGAATAGAAAGGGAAAAACACAGTATGGTGAAGACTGAAGAACTATAATGATTCTCATACTAGTATCCATTCATCTTGTATTCTAGAAATGCACAAATAAAAAAAATAAAGTTCAGTACATAGTAAATTTCAATATATGACAAACGCAAAATTTATAACCAAAGTATGATCAATTTAGCTCTATCTTTAGCTTGATGCCTGAACCTATGAATTTATAAGTTTTATAATGTGCTAGCTGTTCATTATTATTGTGCAAATAATTTATTGTTTTTCACCTTTTTTACTAGAATGTTTTGATCATTATAGATATGATCAACGAAATTTTAATTCATTAGTGTAAATTTACGTCTGTGAATAAGAAACACTTTTTTTAAAAAGCTATCAAACTGAATTCATATGTTTTTAAAGTTTTGTTAAATAATGCATGAAGTATAGACAATTAATAATTGAATAAATTGTGTGTGTGTCTGTGCGTGTATCCTTTGTATTATTCATTCTTGATAAAATAATGGTGAACTTTTTCTTTCTTCTCTGGAGTTAATGTAAAAGTCTTAATAATTTCCGAATTTCCCTCGTTCCTCAAATGCTAGTAAAATTTTTAAAGTCTTTTTTTGGGGGGGGGGGGGATAATATGAAAGTCAATGTCAAAACTTTTTTTTAAAATTAGCTTTATACAACTGATTCATCTAACTGATTATTAGAGATTTACAACATAATGATTTGAACGAAATTAAAATATGTATAAATAAAACATGGCAACATTTACACTATATTCAGTTTCTTTTACCTTTCTGTAGCTACACAGTTTCTGTCTTTCACAAAGCATTTTAGTATCGTGTTGATCCGCAAACAGCTTTGAACTGAAAGATTTAATTTTATTTTTAAATTTGATAAAATAATCATCAAGTTAAATGTCAACAAACTACATAACCTTAAGGAAAGGCTTTTAAATTCAGTAATATGAATGCATAATACTATACATGCAGTTAATTGCAGATAAGAAAACATATGAGATTATAAACTACTCACATTTAAACACTTCGTCATCATAATAAGATGTATCTGGACATCCGTCTTTGAAAGATGAGTTACAAGGAACGTGATCAAGATAACCATTGCTTTGATGCTTTACACAATTGTCTTTAAATGATAATAAAAGACTATTATTGATTTTACAACGAGGTTTAAAACGTTAACTTATCTAAGATATACATTTTGTATTACTAATTATTCCAGTTAAATAAATTCTACCGAAAAATATTATTATAAGAATGTTTTTTACATTTTTAACAGTGAAATACTGTGATTTATTTAATGAAACGTGATATTCTGCCACAGTGTGAAAGTATACCAAAGTAAGAAAAATTTATTTCTGGCTTGTCATAAAACCGAAACAGAAACTAAACCATCTTGATAGAGACTAAAACTGCCAATTTCTTCCCAAATATACTGCACGTCTCAACAACTCAACTATGACGTCACAGCCTATGGCATTGTATTAGGAAAAGACAGAGGCAAAAGGCAATCAAAAAATTGTAAAAAGCAAAAATTATATATATATATATATATATATATATATATATATATATATATATATATATATATATATATATATATATATATATATATATATATATATATATATATATAATTATAAGACTCCAAAGTCCGATGGTGACGCCAAAGTCCGATGGTCTGCGCCAAACCCCGATGGTTTGACACGCCAAAGTCCGATGGTGCGGAAAAAATAAACGTTTATGACGTCATAGTACTGTATATATATATATATATATATATATATATATATATATATATATATATATATATATATATATATATATATATATATATATATATATATATATATATATATATATATATATTAGTGTTGTCAACGAGTAGAGTAACCGGTTAACCGAACGATGCGTGTATCGGTTAGTAAAACTGCTATGATTAAAACATTAATCGGAAACCAGCGATTTACTGGACACTTTACAGATCAACCAGTGTCAAATTCTCCTTGATCGCGACATATATCGTGGAGGGGGGGGGGTGAAAAGGAAAACGTTACGAGAGCCATTGCAAATTGCACTGTTTGATGACTATATATCTATTGCCTTCTTCGAGTGTCGATAAAATCATTTTCTTGAACAAAAACAAACTGCCCGTTTCAAGTGACATCTAAAATCAAAATTCTTTAAACATACTGTGTGTGTGTGTGTTTATGTGTGTGAGGGTGTGTGTGTGTGTGTGAGGGTGTGTGTGTGTGAGAGAGTTTGTAATTGAGTTTGTAATTGTAAATAAAGTTCATGAACAGTACATTTGTGTTTTATTTCTACCGATAGGTAAAGGATGAGATAAATAATAGATATGGTAACTGTAACGAAAAAATCATCCGGGTAACCGGGTACTTGATCGGAAAAGTAAACGAGTAACCGGTTACTAAAAATCGTCCGATTTTACAACACTAACATATATATATATATATATATATATATATATATATATATATATATATATATATATATATATATATATATATATATATATGTGTGTGTGTGTGTGTGTGTATATATTAACTCGGATCTACCAAGCAGATACAAGGTCACGGATGGAAATTTATATAAAGCACTAAAAATGACCAACGACACGAACAATAAAATGATCGGTACGACCTGTACCTTCCTCAGGACAAAGAAAAAAGTTAAAAGTCATTAAAACAAAGGAAACAGAGAAACAAAAACAATTAGCACTACTACTGAACTACCAAACACTAAATATTTAAAGTGTGTTACATGTTTAATTTGAAGTTTATAAACAGTTGTTTATATATATATATATATATATATATATATATATATATATATATATATATATATATATATATATATATATATATATATATATATATATATATATATATATATATATATCTGTTACTTCCCAAACTCCGTCATCATAAGCAGAAAACACGTCAGGTTACTCTCTTAATTATTTTTTGATTTGTGTCTTGTTTCTTAAACTTAGTAATTAACTTAAACATTGTTTTCAGAACTATTGTAAAAATAATTCAGTTATTGAGCTAATGCAAAACTATTATAAATAGAACGCATATCACATCCGTGTACTTACGTCCAATGAACCCTAGCTCCGTCACCGGGTCCTCTACAATATGTCAACGTTTTAATTAGAATTTTTTTTCCAGTTTAGCTTTTTCTCCCTTCATCTTAAACTTGTAAACAGAGAAAATTAGTTTTGACGATTTAAAATACCATTAATTTGTATTTTAGGAAAAAGTAACAATAACAGAGAAAATAACGTTAATATAACGTATTTTATTTGTAATAACGTAACGCTATATGTTATCTCCAACGAGTAGCGATTTAGGGCAAACTGAGACGAAAAATAAAATATTTTTAGATGTATTCAATAGGGTATTTCATATTAATCCGTCGACAAAGACATTCACACATGTGACAAACGTGTAAAAATGTGCACATTGACGAATATGTCGGAGGTATCGATGGAATAGCGCTAAAAGGAAAAAGTACTTGATGATTTCACATAAAATATGAAAAATACAATAGATCGGGTGTAGTTGTTATATATCTTTGACACATTCTTGATCTTGACTGCAAAAATTTTTCAGCATTTGAATGTAGATTTTCAGCATGTAAAAAATGACGTCACAAACGTCAAAATCGCATTCTCTTATAAACAGTGAGGAGTTTCCCGAAAGTGACGGAGTTAGGGAGTTTGTCAATATATATACGGTAGACATGGAAAGCAAATCCGATACTGATACACACCTGGTCCATATAGTCCTCGTTTGGCTGTTGTACAAAACTCAATCAAAGAGGATAGATCTTTATTTGGTGCACATAGATATCGAGTATTTCCACTACAGTTCATGTTCCTGGAAGCTTTTTCAAATGTTGTCATGTTCAAAGGGCATTTTGCAGTTGAACGCCAAATTAATTTATTGGAACTATTCTAAAAATTGACAAGTATACTATCAAAAAAATGTGACAAACGTGAAATAACGAACAGTACTAGTGAACAATTTCATAAATGTTGTGAGAAGGACAAAACAAGAATCCATGAAAACACGTGAAGTGATGTTTGGGGGGGGGCATCCCCTGTCAACAAGACACACCAAGACAATTACACTTAGTTTAGCTGTTAGATGATAAGGGGATAAATCAACATTACATATCATGCCAGAGATTGAAGTTACAAGGCAGGGGGTATGGTATCGAGAGATTTTCTTCGACGAAAATTGAAGTCTTTTAAGTAGACATTTTTACTATTTCTTGTTGTCATAATCATAATGAGAATAAAATTACAAAACAAATAAAGTCTGTGAAATATCTGGAGATAACGAACAGTATTCAAGCTCAAAAGTCAATTAAACAATACAAAATAGGAGCAGAGCAAAACACGGACCTCCAAAACATCAGAGGTGGCATCAGGTGCCATGGAGGAGTGGGCATCCCTTGCCGACCGGTCACACCCACCGTGTGCTCCTTGTCATGATCGGGAAATAACGGAAAAATCCGTCGACAATTCAGTATGTAAATAATGGCCTAACAATTAGTATGAAAAAACGTCAGTCTGTAGAATCAAAGTCTAGGATTCAAGCCCCCAGATGCTCTTTTTTTTGTAGTAATATTAAAACAATGCCTTTTATTTACACCCTTTTATCAAATAAAGATGTGTTTATTGATTCATTTAATCAATTTTAATGGTTTAAGAAAAGACTATTTTTGTTATAGTTTTGAAATTGATCAGTAGTGTACATTCATAGTTGCCCAAATCGAGAAACATGGAAGCTAATTTTCAGGTCTCTATGGAAGGTGGAGGAATGGGCCTTGCTCTTGTTAAAAGACTCCACAAAATAAGCATGTACACGCAAACAGGAAACAATGACTTGAGGGCACTTTCAAAGGTGCAGAAAGGTTATTAATGAAACGTTAGCTCTGTGTTGTTTTTACATCGAATAGATTTTTTACACATCAGTTTTGAAGGCTTTGCATTTACATTGAGTTTAGATAGCAATTTGAAAAAAATATGTTATTTAGTTAATGATCTGAATTTAATTTATTTCCAATTGCAGGCGAATCCTTATGACTAAATGGGTGGGGAAAGCGTGGTCAGATACCGGAAAGGACCAAATTGATGCTGTGGTAAAGTGTTTTAAAACATGTGGCATATCTAGCTAGATAAATGGCAGTGAGGATCCTCTCATTCACTTCCAGGGCATCGAAAGATATGCGTTTGAAACAGAAAGGAGGGGGCTGAAGACGATGAAGTGGGCTCTTTTATTTCAGACAATGACAGTGATTCTGATGAAGACCTTCCTCTAGCTGAGCTCAAATTAAGACTGTGACAGCTCCAGTACAGCCTTGTATTTTAGTGTTACGCGTAGTGTTCTAACTATATAATAACTGAGAGTTGAAATTTTATCATGCCTAAGGATTTAAAAAAAAATTAAAACTGAATATTGGACTTTGAATTTTTATGGTTTTATCAAAGTTTTAGATATTTCATTTTGAATCTAATCTTAAATGTCATAGAATGTTTATAAGGAAATGAAATAATTTGAGAAATTTTGTGTTCAGTATCTTGCATGTAGATAAAGAAACACATTTTAGTTTAAAATCTTTCTAAATGGCATAGTCATGACCGGCTTATTTTTCAAAAACGGCTTATTTTCGAGTAATTTTCAATGCAAGAAATAGGTGTCTTATTTTCAAAACCGGCTTATTGAAAAATTCGGTTATAGGAAATCCCGATAACTGGCGTCGTAATTTCACACATATTATGGATTCTGTAGAGGAATACACCAGACGTTGGGTCAGACAGGAAAAAGAAGACCTTCACAATTTGTCAGAATGGATTAAATGTATCAGATATTTGTTAAAATATCGCATTAAACGATTGAGGGGCAGTATGAAAACCGTCTATCCTTCTGTATTCAATAATTCAGAACTGAAAAAAGAATTAGATTAAACGATCAGTACGTACTGGTCCCTGCTGACAAAGCAACATTGTCTTGTTTGTAAGGCTCACTATAAAAATTGTATTTTAGAGGAACTTGGATTAATTCTACAATTCTACAAATGTGGTAATACAACTTATATCCATAGCTCCCTTTCTAAGGAGGAAATTCTTCAAAATCATATGTCAGTTTTGAATATTTTTAATACTCCCAACAACCAAAAAGAATTTGAATTACCATATCTATACTGGATTCCGAAACTTCATAAAAATACTTACAAAAATACATAGCAGGTTCCAGTAAATGTTCTACCAAGCCTCTTTTTGTGCTCCTCACTTAGATATTACCAGTAGTGAAGGAGAATCTTCAAGAGTACTGGACAACAATATATTCGAGAAGTGGTGTAAATCAGATTTGGATACAAAAGAATTCCAAGGAACTTTTGGAGCATTTGAAATCATAAAAAATTTATCAAAATCAACAACATAAAAACGTAGACTTTTCAACTTTATATACAACTATTCCCCACGATAATTAAAGTCCAGACTTTCTGACATCTTTGACAGCTGCTTTTTCAATAAAAAATGGAACTCGTAAATTTAAGTACTTTGTCATTGGTCATTTGCAAAATTAATTTGTTAAAAAACAATCTGATTCTATACACAAGTACTCTGAAGTTGACATTAAAAAGATGCTCGAGATTCTGATTGACAATATCTATGTGGTTTTTGGAGACCAGGTCTTCCAAGAATCTAGTGGAATTCCCATGGGTACCAATTGCGCCCCGTTATTAGCAGACCTATTTTTGTATTATATGAAGCAGAATTTGTTCAAAATCTTTTACGTGAAAAAGAAGAAGAACACTTCCTGTGGCCTTCAACTCGAAATTTAGATATATCGACCACATACTGTCAATTAACGATGATTATTTCCATTCTTATGTCGACCGATATATCCCGGTGAGCTTGAGATAAAAGATACCAAAGAGTCTGACACATCTGATTCATATTTTCATATGAACAATTTCTAAAAAGAGGTAAGTTAATGACAAACAAGTTGATGAAACACGAATATCAGAAGTGTCGTTGAAAGTAATCATTTCGTAAGTTCTATGGTCGGTACAATAACCTTGTCAGCAAATACAATCTATCATTAAATCTAACGTAGACTGACTTTTATCATACTAATTGTTAGGCCATTATCTATACACTGAATTGTCGACGGATTTTTCCGTTATTTCCCGATCATGACAAGGAGCACACGGCGGGTGTGACCGGTCGGGAGGGGATGCTCACTCCTCCATGGCACCTGATCTCACTTCTGATGTCTTAGAGGCCCTTCTTTGCTCTGCTTCTTTTTTGTAATGTTTAATGGACTTTTGAGCTCGAATACTGTTTGTTATCTCCACGTATTTCATTTCAAGGTATAAGGGTAGTATGATATTACCCAAAGTCAAGGTACTGAGGTTTTGGAATGGTTCCCAGCTTTACAACAAAAGCAGTGGAGACGGGGGTCTTTAATTAGATGTGATTGTAATCGGCAGAACGGAGAGTTAACAAAGTATTTAATTATCAATGAAATTGGGCAAAAATAAGAATAAACGAAAAAAAATGTTCACCAACATTGCCTTTTTAGTTAAACATGATCCCTCTGCTCATTAAAGTGAAAATGCTCTAAATGAATCAGTGAAGTAGCAGATAGGAGAGTCGTTAAAACTAGAGAAGCCGTAAATCTGCCACTGCATGCTATAAAGGGATCAAATTGTAGTAGTGGATCTGAAAAAAAAGAAATTTATTCGTCCTTTCATTATATTTTATTTTAGGATCCGAGCAAAGAGGTAAAGTACTTTTGTTAGTCAGATGAACATATTTGAAAGTTAATATGAATATTCACTGCGGATAACACCGTTTACCTTATCAGTACAGAGGACTAACAGAGGGTATGACAGTTTGATTTCTCACTTGATTTAAAACATATCATTGCCAAATAGGTAAGAACGTAGTGAATATATCGTTTTCATCAAAAGCGAAAAAATACGTTACTTTTTTGTACATATGGAATGAAATATGGAAATAACGAACAGTACCCAAGCTAAAAGTCCATTCAAACAATACAATTCGGGAGCAGAGGAAACAAGGACCTCCAAAAACATCAGAGGTGGGATCAGGTGCCAAGGAGGAGTGAGCATCGCCTGGCGACCGTGTGCTCCTTGTCATGATCAGGAAAAAAGGAAAAATCCGTAGACAATTCAGCGTGTAAATAATGGCCTAACAATTAGTATGAAAATTTGACGTAATAATAGGTTGTATTTGCTTACAGGGTGATTGTATCGACCATAAAACTTGCGAATCTATGACTTCAAACGAGACTGTTGATATCCTTGCTTCATAAAATTGCTTGCCTAGTTTTTGAAATTGTTTAAACGTAGAGCATGCTCTTGCGTATCGAATCAACTGAGAGACATAAACCCCATATGTAGCAATGTGACCTTATCACCTGCGCAGGCGAAAAGGTCACATTGCTACATAAGTATGGGACGTTAACGATTGAAAGGTTGAAGTCATCAAGTTTATCATAAAGCTCTGTTGTTAGATTACCATTAAAGTCTTTTTCTAGTAAAATATACAAATATGAAGCAGATATGTCAGACTCTGTGGTATCTTTCATTTCAAGCTCACTGGGATATATCGAGTCAACGTATGAATGAAAGTAACTATTGTTGATTCATAATACTTCGTCGGTATATCGAAATGTCGAGTTGAGGGCCAAAGCAAGTGTTTTCTTCTTCTCATGTAGAAGTTTTTGAATCAATTCTGCTTCATATGAATATAAAAATAATTCTACTAAAAACGGGGTGCAATTGATACCCATGAGAATTCCAACAGATTGTTGGAAGATTTGATCTCCAAAACTACATAAATCTTATCAATCAGAAACTCAATCATCTATTTAATATCAACTTCAGAGTACTTGTGTGTACAATCAGAATGTTTTAACAGAACACTTTTGCAAATGACCAGTGACAAGGTAAGTATATTTATAAGTTCCATTTTTTGTTGAAAAAGCAGCTGTCTATGATGACAAAAAGCCTGGACTTCAATTTATCGTTGGGAATGATTATATAAAGTGTTGAAAAGTCGTACGTTTTAATGTTATTGATTTTCGTAACGTTTTTCGATTTCAAATGCTCCAAAAGTTACTTGGAATTTTTTAGTATCCACAACGGATTTACACCACTTCTCAAGTACACTATTGTACAGTACTTCTGAAGTTTCTCCTTCACTGCTGTAACTGTTTCAGAGAAGAGTAAAGAAAGAGTATTGGTAGAATACTTACTGGAACCCGCTATGTATTTTTGTTCGTAAAGTTTTTTATGGAGTTTTGGAATCCAGTATAGGTATGGTAATTCAAATTCATTTTAATTGTTGTGAAAAATCAAAAATACAGAGAGTCGGGCTTATTTATAGAACAGTGACCAGTACCGTTCTACATGAAGCATACATGAAATAACTGTTATGTAAGAAGTTCAGAAATATTATTTTGCGATAAATTATTAAATGCATTTCAAAAGATTTTAAAACATAAGAAAATCTGGTTTTTAATCATCTCTGTATAACACTTGATAGCCTCAGCGTCAGGATATCGCATTACAAAACCCACATTTGATTTATCTGGAACAACAATAATTTGCAATTACTATTGTTCTCTGTGATTATTTTTCCTTTTATTCTGTTATAATTTTGATTTAATATGCTAAATATCGCAACATCCACCTAGTAACAAGGTCGGATGCAAGTGTGCATTCACTATGCACGCCTTGCGAGGCAGTGAAGTTTTCCATCATTCTATAAATAGAGGTTGTCTAATCAGCTAAAAAATTTTGAATGTGTGTCGCACGTGGCCTGTGTGTTCATATGGCAGCAGAGGTTACGTTCACTCTCACAAAGGTATTAGCTTTCCTTAAAAGCTTGTCTGACTCGAGAAAACTATGTTCCTGATATTTGAAAATTTGAAAAGTTTAAACCAGCGTCATCATCATGAATATTATTTGAGAAGTGGAACTGATCTAATTTGAAAGGTGTAATGTTTATATTGGCGGTTGTTGGTTTACCGTCCGGTGATTCATCCGCACAGATCGGCGATCCCGTAAGCCGGGCCATAGCTTACGCTATGGATCCCGGCAAATAATTAAAACTGATGTATGGTTTTAAAGAAATCCTTCTCAGAAAGGGTGTTATGAGTATAAGTTGGATTACCACTTGAGCATTAAATCCTAGCTCGTCTAAAATACAATTCAAATACTGAACCCTACAAACAAAAACGATAATGTTACCTGCTTTGTCATCGGTGACAATTAGATACTGATCATATATAATGAAATATATGGTGATAACGAACAGTATTCAAGCTCAGAAGTCCATAAAACAATACAAAATAGGAGCAGAGCAAACACGGACCTCCAAACATCAGAGGTGGGATCAGGTGCCATGGAGGAGTGAGCATCCCCTGCCGACCGGTCACACCCGCCGTGTGCTCCTTGTCATAATCGGGAAAAAACGGAAAAATCCGTCGACAATTCAGTGTGTAAATAATGGCCTAACAATTAGTATGAAAAACGTCAGTCAGCATTTGACTCAATGATAAATTGTATTTGCTGACAAGGTCATTGTATCGACCATAGAACGAAATATATGGAGATAACGAACAGTATTCAAGCTCAAAAGTCCATTAATCAATACAAAATAGGAGCAGAGCAAACACGGACCTCCGAACATCAGAGGTGGGATCAGGTGCCATGGAGGAGTGAGCATCCCCTGCCGACCGGTCACACCCGCCGTGTGCTCCTTGTCATGATCGGGAAATAACGGAAAAATCCGTCGACAATTCAGTGTGTAAAATATGGCTTAACAATTAGTATGAAAAACGTCAGTCAGCATTTGACTCAATGATAAATTGTATTTGCTGACAAGGTCATTGTATCGACCATAGAACTTACGAAATGATGACTTTAAACGAGACAGCTGATATTCTTGTCTCATCAACTTATTTGTCAATAATTTACCTCGTTTTAGAAATTGTACATACGTAGAGCATGCTCTTGCGTATCGAATCAGCTGAGAGATATATACCCCGTATGCAGGTGATGAAGGTATATTGCTGCATAAGTAAGGGAAGTTGACGATTGAAAAGTTAAAGTCATCACGTTCTATAATCTATAATCTATCTAATTCTTGTTTCACTTCTGCATTGTCGAAGACAGAAGAATAGATGGTTTTCATATTGGCCCCTCAATCGCTTATTGCGAGATTTCAACATCAATCCAATGACACTGTATTCTGAGATGAAACAAAGCTGACCAACCTGCTGTTTTCTAAACCTACCAGTAGTCCTTTTACGATTGCATCCGTACATAATGTTATAAGGAAAAGACAGAGAGACATCCATTCGATGATCATGTTGACACTGTTTTTGTTTTACTTGTTGAATTCTTTTCCTGAAAAAAAGGTATACTTTTATGTCCAAAAACTGATATTACAAGACCAAAATACTTCTATATAACAAGAAATATTCAACAAATGAGAGGTGTTTAATATATATTATTTAACGCAAACATCTTGCAATCCAATAATGTTTTGTATGTTTGTACTGTTTAAAAGTCCAAACGAAAGTTATAAATCAATAGCACTGTTTCTCTTACCGATTACAATTTCATGATTTCATTATTTATGATACTGCAAAATGACATGATAATAGAAATATCAAATTACGGAAAATTTTTCAATATTCTAAATGAAAAAGTAAAGGGAAAAAAATTTTCTCCTAATTTACAGCATATCAGGATGGCAACCGAGAAAGCGTTTTGCTATTTGAACTAAAAGAAAAGGTTCTCTCTCAGGTGCTATCTTAATATATTCTCTGCGAGAGTTATCTGCCTTTATTTTGGTGTCGATCTATTTCATTCCTTTTACCTTAAAATAATTTTCCTAGACACTGACTATAATTGTGATAGTGATCGTCAGAAAAACGAATTGGCTTCAACCCATGTACATGTATTAATTAGTTCTCTGCAAATATAAGCCTTAAACTAACCCTCAATCTTCCTTTCGAATTTATGTCATTCTGGTGGGATAGGGTTCTTCTACCGGGGTCATTTACGTATAAACAATATTTTCAAGTTTCTATGTGCCCATGTAAAGTGTTTAAATATGACATAGTATTTGGCACTTGTGATTCTATAGGATGAAAGTTGCGTGCATTATATTTATAGGCATGGAACCTTCAAGTTATCGATGAATATATTGTAAGGTAAGATCTAGTGGAAAGGTGCCTGGATCTTTATATATATGAATATAAAATGATAGGTCTACCCTATATATTTAAATAAACGATGCATATGAGAATTAAACAATGAAAATCAATGACTTCAGATACAAACTTGCAGAAAAAAGGATAGAATGTACAATTATTTATGTATGTAAGATATCACATTTGCATTTTCAGAAATACTTTTTTTTTAAAAATTTTTTTAGAAGAATTAAAAAATAAAAATAAAATTATGCACAAACTCAAATCTTATGATTGATTTCACAATCTTCTTACAGGGGTTCGATTGGCCATATTTCAAACTATGTTTGCAAAAAATGTGTATGAATTTCTTTCATATTAAATTGAAAGAGAGATTTTGTATCCTAGCACAAAATTTTCAAGTTTCAAGAAAGTTGAATTTGCGGAAAAATTTGGCCTATCTGTTGTGTACTATCTTTATATGACTGTTCTAGAGAAGAAGATTTATTTCCGTATTCTAACGTAAAGCTTCACGTTTCAATTTGTGAATGTACGATACAAGGGAACTCTTTCATTATTGTCAAGATCTAGTCAATGAAAGATGCATACAGATTTCTGAAATCTGAGAAATATTTTTTTAAATCGCTTGAGACCCCGTTGTTCTTAATATTTTTAAATGACAATACCCTACACCAGTTTGTTAATATTTCTTAATTATCTCTGACTGAAGAAAGGTGTTGCCCTACATGTGGATGTAATTAACAGGATTCTTTCCTGTGTATTCTTATATGAAAGTGTGATCCCATTTTGTGGCCCAGCCATAACCCAAAAAGAGAGGGAGTAATAAGTTTAAGAAACATGTATCTGCACTACCAGAAGATTTCACCAATCATGGACCTGATGTTGTGAAAAAGATTCCCTAAGATTTTTCTTATATCTCTCCATGTCAAACTTTAATCCCGTGTTTTGGTTCTATTCTACACCTTGAACAAACTTAAATCTGTTGTAATTGAAAATGCTCGCATAATAATATCACTTATCATGAAACTGCTATTTCTGCCATGTTTATCAAGGATTTATCTTTCTATATTTGTCTTGAAAATTTTGATCCCCTAAATATCCCTTAGTATTGTTTGAACACGACAAACTTAAATTTATAATACTTGAGGACATTGCATAGTTATATGACAAAACATGACTCAGGTGTACAGAAAAGTCAGATATAAAAAGAAATTCTGCATATTCCAATGCTAAAATTCGATCCTCTGTTGTGCCCCACTACCTTCACTGCCTCCTAGAACAGGAGCTCGACATGAATCTGTACTACTTGAGGATTCTTGCATATTTCATGTAACATGGCCTTGCTGGTTTTGAAAATAATTTTCTAGGAGAGATTTTCCCACAATATTCACGTTTAAAACCTGAGGATACTTGCATATTCAAATAACTAATCATGGTCATGAGAGGATGATTCTTAGAGATACATGTTCTCTATATATTATCGTATCAAATTTTGATCCCTAATTTACACACCAGTGGTCATAATTTGAACAAACTTTGCACTACCAGAGAATGATTACTTTATTGTTGAATGCAGTAATTGATGATTGCACCCTTTGCATAAAAACATGCAATACATGAGGATTTTCAGTTAGTATGGATTACTGTCTATGCGCTACACATGTCCGTGCCGTGTATTGCATTAGTAACTGATTTCTTAGCGGTATTCATGAATAAGCGCATCGTTGTCCGCGCCAAAGCCACTAAAATATGAAGCAAGCTTTTTTAAGTACACAAACAGTATTTTGTGGATTCACTTACAATTAAAATATATATTACTCACAAAACCAAATCAACTGTTCACTCCAATACAGCTAAACTGCGCAGTTTAAATCTTAAAAGCATTTGGTCTTGAAAATCCTGTAAATACATTGTCGAAAAGATAACAAGAGGCCCATGGGCAACATCACTCATCTGAGCATTTTGGCTAGGAAAATGTAGAAATCAGTTCAGTATTGAAAAGGTTAAATATTAAAGTGGTTCCCGGGGGGGGGGGGGGATTTTATTGATTTATCTTTTATATTCCTTTGTATAACTATGATCCCTTGTTATGGCCCCACTATACTCCTAGTGGTCATTTGATCATATTTAATCAACATTACCTGCAGAGGATGCTTTTATTTTATTATGACCAATCACGGTTTTGCTGTTCTTGAGAAAAAGATTTTTAAAGATTTCCCCTAAGTATTTCTATATAAAACTTTAATCGTCCACTGTGGCCCCACCCTACTCCCGGGGGTCATGATTTGACCAAGTTGAATCTACACTACCTGAGGATGCTTCCATTTAAATATGATCAATCGTGGCTTTGTTCTTGAGAAGATTTTTGTTGATTTTCCCTATGTATTCCAATGTAAAACTTTGATCACCCACTGTGACCCCACCCTAAAACGGGGGTCATGATTTGAATAAACTTGAATATACACTACCTGAGGATGCTTCCATATAAATATGATCAATCATGGCTTTGTTGTTCTTGAAATGAAGATTTTTGAAGTTTTATTTCCTATGTATTCCTATGTAAACTTTGATCGCCCACTGTGGCCCCACCCTACCTCCGGGGGTTGTGATCTGAACAAACCTGAATCTACACTGCATGAGGATGTTTCCACGTAAGTTTCATATTTCTAGCACAGTGGTTCTTGAGAAGAAGATTTTTAAAAAAGATGCCATAATTTTTTAACGAATTCACAATTATATCTCCCCTTGGAGGAAGGCGTGGCTCTTTATTTAAACAAACTTGAATCCTCTTTACCCAAGGATACTTTGTTTCAGTTTGGTCGAATATGGTCCAGTGCTTCTTGAGGAGAAGATGAAAATGTGAAAAGTTAACAACGACAACGACGACAAGAACGACAACGACAAACAACGGACAAATCTCGATCAGAAAAGCTCACTTGAGCCTTTGGCTCAGGTAAGCTAAAAACGCAATAGAGGGTAATTAGGCAAATGCAATTTTTTATAGACACATTAAACTTTAAAAATGACTTAAAGAAGTACGGTGAAATATGAATTAAAAATGTTAAATTGAATTACTACTGTAACATTACCTCCATAATCTCTACAGTGAAACCAACGTGGCACTTGTGTCCTTCTTTAAATTCTGCATTACAAAATTATGTTCCATTGTCAAATAATTTTTAAGTTTTTTAATATATACGTACTTTTTTCTAAAGATACAGATAAGGTAATCTTGAGGAAAATTTTAAAGACTGAACAAAGATAGAAGAATGTTTTATCTTATCAAAAACCCAGAGCATTACGTTATTTCATACCCCGGAAATATGTTATCAATAAGGAAATATTCTATTGAAACAAAGAAAAAGCCGACTAAACTTTTCATTTTACCACAACCATACGATCAGTAATATATGGAGAACCCTATATTTATGTGTATTACACATACATACCTATGTTCTTTAAATCAGTAGATAAAAAAAAACACCAACAATATTCTTATGCCCCCGTATCGAAGATTCGGGGGTATATAGTTTGTCCGTCTGTCTGTCCGCAAAAACTTTAACATTGCTCATAACTTTTGATTGGTTGGAGCTATGACTTTCATATTCTACATGTGTATTCCGTGTGACAAGAACTTTCTTTGGGTACCATCATATTTGACCTTTTGACCTTGGAGTTTGACCCAGTCCTACATAATTTCACCAAACTTTAAACTTGGCCATAACTTTTGAACATTTAGTGCTAGAGCTCTCGTTCTTCACATGTGAAATCCTTTTAACAAGGCCTTTCTTCGGATACAGGCATCTTTGTCCCTTTGACCTTGGAGTTTGACCTACTTTTGGAAAACTTTAACTTCGGCCATTACTTTTGAGCAATTGGTGTTAGGGCTTTCAAACTTCACAAATATGTATTGAGACAAGACCTTCCTTTGGATACCGACAACTTTGACCCTTGGACCTTTTACAAAACTTTAATCTTGGTCATATCTTTTGAATGGTTGAAGCTAGGGCTTTCATATTTCACATGTGTAATCCTTGTGAGAAGGCCTTTCCTTGGGAATCATTAATTTTGACCATTTGACCTTGACCTTGATGTTTGACTCACTTTTGAAAAACTTGAACCTTTTCCATATCTTTTCAATTGTTGCTGCTAGGAATTTCA